ATATACTTCCATGTGATTCACGTAGTATTGCTGAACAAAATCATATATACGTATATGGGGTTTGGGGTTTTGTTGTTGCTTGTTTGCAGGGTGGGGACTGGACCCAGGGCTTTGCACATGACACAACTGGACCTACATCTCAGAACTTAGACAAAACTAACAGTAAAAAAGCCTGCTGTTTTCAAATTATTAAAAAATACAATGAAGAAAACAATGTGAGAATATTCATGTGGTCCTTTAAAAGATAAGTCAGCAACAATCTTTAAGTGTCCACCGGCATCCATACAATTTGTAGAATGTGTCTAATTTATTTGAATACCAGTTGATTGCTCTAATATGGGGCTATTGATTTAACAACATACTGTTTGCTCAAAATAAAAATTCAGTTCTCCCCAAGATACACCGTATAAGCATTTAGTGTTCTAGTATGTCCTGAGGATACACTTAAGTAACAAATAATCAATAGTGGTTACTGAGCAAAATTAACAAAACACAAGGCCAAGAATAAAGACGGAACATGGAACAGAGGAAAATGGCCAAGCATGCTTTCCACAGGGAAGGATGATAGGATCTTTCTGCTCCTTTTCTCTTTTCTGAATGTTTGTCTTAAAACTGGAATAGAAAGAGCATTTTCCATAAGATCAGTTGATAAACCCAAAGATATAAGAGAAGTCAGAAAGTATTACACCATGATCTTCTTTTTTTTTTCCAGTAGCAGGGATTGAACTCACAACCTTGTGCTTGCCAAGCAGGCACTTATACTACTGAGCTATATCCCCAGCCCCTACACAATAATCTTCTCATGAGTCAGGTTGGTGCAGTATCCTCTCAGCCATCCAGCTGCCGTACTATTTTCTCACCCTTTCTGGTTGACTGACGACAAGCTAACCAGTATTTTACATTCTAATGTATAAAATTTAGCTGGCTAGACAGCTTGCTTCTCTAACTCTATGTCTAGGAATCGATCCAGGGTGGGATGTATTATTGTTACAGATTAAGTAAGTATATAGTGGCTGAAAATTATACATAATAGCTTCATTTGGGCATGAATGTGAAAATTGGTCTATGAATTATTTTCTTCCATCAAATGATTGTATGCTCCAAAAACACCTGAATATGATTTGAGTAGTTTTTAAAAACTACATTTTTCAATAGGCACTATCTATGCAAGATCAGAATACCTGAATTTAGAATATCATTATTACTTTCTTGAAAAAATAAAAAATTAATAAATATATATGAGACAATCTTTTCACAAGTAAGGTTGCCTATCACAATAGTAAAACCTAGTTAAAAACTTCAACTTAATAGACTAATTTCTCCTTCACAAAAGAATTAGGATACTTTAAGTTGAAAGGATCAACTTCAAACTACTTTCAAGACAGCTCTAATTTCTTTTTTTTTTTACTTTTTCAGACAGGGTCTCACTATGCAGTTCAGGCTGGCCTTGAGCTCACTTCGTAGCTCAGATGGGGCTTGAACTCACAGGGATCCTCCTGCCTCAGCCTCCAGAGTGCAGGGATTACAGGGGTGGGTCACTATCCCTGGCTCTAACTTTCAAGTAGATAAAAAGTACCATTTGAAAACCCACAAACAGTGAAAACCCATGAATATTTCTGAAGTGACAAAATGGCTGGAAATAAATAATTTTAACATTTGCCTTAATTGCTGCATTTCTAAAATAAGCAAATACTTATGTACCTATCACATGTAAGAAAAATACGTTTTAACATAGCCATACATCTATTACTCCCTCCCTCTGTAACACCCATCTAGATACAATGATGTATTTTTCTACTTGCAAATGTTTTGCCAGCTTAAATGATCTCAAATCATTGGCCTACTCTCCATGTTATCTCCGAGGCGTTCACTTGTAGTGGGTGCTCCGTCTGCTTTTCGTGAATGCATGTCAACTCAAAGGTGATATTTTACTTGAGATTCTTTTAGAATTTCTTTCAAGAAAACTTCTCAGCCATCAGTTTAAATTGTTTCATAACTACTAATACTTTTACATCCAGTCTTATGCTTCTTATGTAGATAAATCTTCTTTTCCTTGTTCAGGCAGATTTATGACCTCAGCTGCCCCTAACTTAGTCCCAAGAGACGGAGTTCTTAGAAACTTAGATTTCTGGAGCCGGAAAGAATATTAGAGGTCACGTACTCCAGCCCCTGCATTTTATGGTTGAGGACAGTGAGCCCAAAACAGATAGCTGAGTGACTTTGGGCAAGATTCCTGCCAAGTGGTGGAGCCAGAACCTGGAGCCAGGTCTCCTGATGCCCAGCGAGGAGCCAGGTCTCCTGACTCTGACTCCCAGATCGTTCCATTGCACACACTGTCCCTATTCTTTGAGGCTGTGCTAGGCTGCTCACATTCATCACGCTCTCTGTAAATGATCACATCGGCTAAACAAAATGCTTCTGCCGACCAGTCATGGGATGCTGGAGCACACCTGTGTTGTGAGGCTATCCTTTAATTAATCACATGCTCCTCTGACCCAGCACATCTCAGTACCTCCTCCTTATCCTCCTGTGAATAACCAGCTCCTCGCTGTGCCCTTCCAAGCAGTGTATGACATGCCCCCAGCAAACCTCTGGAAACTTTCTCCCTTTTCCCATGAGATTGACACTAGCTTTATTCAGTTCTTCCGAAGTATGGAACTCCTTTCTACCTCAGCCCATGCCCTCCAGTCCCCAAATGTGCTTATCCTGTGCCTTGTCTGGAAGCTATTAACCTTTCTTCAGGTCTCTGTTTAAAAATAAGTTCCTTAGAGAGGACTCCCCCAAACCTTCTGTTACTTAGTCCTACCCCCAGCCATTTCACATTCCAATGGAAACCTACATCTTTCAGTTTGTAACAAGTTCAGTCTGTGTGATGTGTTTCTTTGCCGACCACTCTGAGCTCTGTAAAACTTGGCGCTATGTCTATTTTAATCATCTTACTATCCTCCAATACCTATCAGACCATGTCTGAAGCACAACCACAAGAGTTACTATTTAGGGATTTACTTTTCATTGATCGAAGTTACTACTTAGTGACTTGCAAGTAGAAAATACATCATTATCACTAGTGATTACTACTCCATGAACATATATCAAACAGTCTGGTGTTGCACTAACTTTACAGATTAGAAATCTGAGGCACCATGCAATAAGACACTTTCCCAGAATTACACAGGAAGGGTGGGAACTGAGATTTGAATTGCTCATTCTTACTCCAGAGTCCACTTTTTCAATGAATAACTTATGCTCTTTCACACTCAAATATTTGTATAATCAGTGAATGAACTTATGCTCAAAATAAAATGACCATTTCACTGAACTATACAAATGGAATAACAAATGTTTAGTGTTTAATCCATGCCAGACATTGTTCCAAGTACATATTTTAATTATTTACTCCCTATTTTGATTTCTTGCAGATTTAATGTTGCCATTTTTTCTATCTGGGTCTTTGATCCTTTGATATCTAGGGCAGAGGAGATGGTTGGGGAAAAAGTGGAAATAAAAATGATTAAGATGTGATATGTATAGATACCAGTTCCCTAAATTGAATATAATTATCATGTACTGCAAACATGTATCAGTATAAAGGGAAAAATGTGTTAATTTTTAATAGACAGCTGAAAGTTAATAAATTACTAACAGTAATCATTAGTGGTGCCAAGAATAGACAAAAGAAAGAAAGAAAATGTATAATTAAGCTAGAATAACTTCTCGCACTTGCTGGAGATAAAGCTCCTCTTTTGCATGAAAAAAATCTCTGGCAAGGGGGGACGCCGTGGAGACAGCTCCACAGCAAGGTGGAGAATGTTGGTGGGGCTCCCTTCTGGCCTCATTACCCTTTGGCAGAACATGTTTGTGAAGAGTTCAGCTGCATACACACATTTTGTTCCCTGGGTAAATGACAAAAAGCTGCCCAAATGGGGTACACTTAGCAAAGAAAAAAAACTGAACATGTAACTCTAGAACAAAGACTGAAAACAGAAGCAAACAGTACAAAAGCTTTATAACAACCCACAGTCAGGGTGAGCAGGGAGATCTGACTACAAGGTGCTAAATCCGTGGAACTTGGCCAGAACTTCAGATGGACATGTGCTTCTCACCTCGCTGCTCACTTCATCAGCTAGAAAGTAAAGATAGCAACAGTAGCCTTGGAGGAGTCTTTAAAGAATAAAACAATATGGGGGAAATCTCCTCTGCAAATGATAAAGTTCCAGTCAGCTTCTTTGGTCAATATTCAAATAATAGATTTTATAAACTCCACAACGGTCCTATCCTCAAGCTCTAAATCAATTTTATTCACTTAGAAAATTGACGAGTTGAAATAGCGTAGTTGAACATATATGTGTATAGTAATACTTCAAATGTATAAATCTATTTTACACACGGTTGACATTTTATCCTTAGAAATGCCAGACACAGAAGGAGAGCCAGGAGATACCATTTTTCTCAACAACAATACTTTCAGATAAGTACATAAAAACAAAGAGAAATAGAAGAGAAAAATTGTAGTTCAGGGTTAGGTGACTCTAGTCAGCTCCTTTGGACAAAGGATAGATGTTTTTGTTCCTGCGTTTGGGTATTCAGCAGTTTTAATAGATGTGCTGTAAAAGTGGGGCAGAGAAATCCAGTTTTAGAAGCTACTTTACAGACTGTGCCCTGTGAATAGTGTCAAAAGAGTAGGTTATATTGGTCAGTTGCATAAAAGAAAAGACAGAAATAAATCAGACCAACCCAGACAAGAAAGAAATAACTTGATCACATAGTTTCACACTTCAGGGCAGGAGGTTGGAATTATGAGGCACAGAGCATGTGAGAGACATAGGGGAAATTCATTTAAATTTTCCACAGGCTTCAGGTTTCCCAGACGAAAAAACCAAATAAGGAAAGTCTTTCTTTCCAAGGTACTATCACATGCTTTGGTGAAGGACACTGTAAGAGGGGGAAAAGAACCACAAATACTGTTATCTGTGCTCACAAAATGTATCTTATAACCTTACCTAATAGATTGGTTAACCACAAGGCAAGATCTTCTTTCATCGGCAGCAAATTAGCTTCATGTCTGCTGGCGAGCCACTGGCTATACTGATGCATATCAGACAGGCCAGGTCCACCGCGTACCTTTGGGCTCAGAGCAGTGCACATTATTTATCCCCTGGTAATACCTGTTTTGGAAACAAAACACAGTTGCTTTTCATACAGACTTCTCTGGTTAAAATCCTGCCACCATGACAGTACTGAACTGGATCCATGAGCATTTTTACAAAAGTTCAGGTCATTAATTATTAAACACTATTGACTTTATTCGTGTAGCAAACTCTTGCTTTTGCCCAGGCTCTTGGTAGGAAGTGGCAATAATCAAAGGTCAATGGAAAATCAAACAGTAAGCTTTCAGCTTGTGTCAGACAATACACTCGGAAAAGACCAGCTGCTAAGGCAAGAAATTACATTTATTCAAACCCAATAAAAAGTGGCTAATTAAAATTTTAGTGTCCCTCTTAACTCACTGTTTGGGTTCATCCTTGAAACCACTGATTCACACGTAATTTTAGGACTAGATATTATCTGTTGTATTTGCACAACTTGTAGTAAACTTATAGTCTTTGGTGTTACAGTTATTGCCTCCAAGATTAAGCAGGGCACTTTGACTCTTTGGGGGTGCCCATGCAATGGTGCACTCACGATCAAAGAATTCACCAGTGGACAGGGAGGAAATGTGCTCAGAGTCTCCGGCACACTTCTGATAGTCACAGACAGCAGAGCTAGAGGAAAAACCTGCCTCTACCGAAGTCATACAGCTAGACTTCATCAGTTACATTTGGATCTGGGTCTTCATGCTTGAAAACCAATATTCTGCCCATGATGACACATTTTGACAAAACAGATTAATTAAAAACCCATACTTATCACCAAAAATTACACATTACTTCCAACAAATATTGTCACAGTGTGTGTGGTTTTTTGTTGTTGTTGTTTGGTTTTCTTTTGTTTTGATCCCCCTACTATTAGATCTCTTCTTTGTATCTCCCTACTTTTTCAGTTTTACATGTTAACTTTATCATTTTTTAGATAAAGGTATTTAAATGTTTTACATCTGTAAAAAAAAAAAAAAAAACCTGATAGTTTCAGTAGCTGATCACCTCATGACTTGCCCAAACCCCTGGACATAGAAAAGATGTCTGAGTATATAGTTGGCTCTGAACTACAGAAGCAGTCTGAAGTAGCTAAAATGGTAAATATAGAATGTATGTGAAATAGCCAAATGCATTTGAATGAACGGCAATAAAATATTTGCAATAGGCAAGAAGTAAGATGATATGATACCCTGGGGTTTTGATCTATGTTCCAATATTTACACTTTTTACGGTGGCACTGGGAATAGAATCCAGGGCTTTGCATATGAGAAGCAAGTGCCCTATCATTGAGCTAGGCCCTTGGCTATTTCTACGTATGGTATTTTAAAGTGACCCATGTAAGTTACATGCTGTCTTTGCATTTTAGTCTTTGACACTTTGCATAGTGTTCCCTTCTAATAAATCTCAAATCTAATTCACTTATAATAAGCTAATTTATTTTAAAGATTACTTTTGACAAAATACGACAATGATTAGAAAAAGCCAAAATATGACCATCTCCAAATACGAGAAGACACTCTTGGGAAATTGAGAAAGTATCTAAAACATGCTATAAACCCACAATTTCATTGCTAATGCAATTGTTCTTTGAGTAATTTTGGGGAAAAAAACATTAATTTTCTTTGAAAATATTATGTATGCAAATATCTAGAGTGAAGCAGTGCAAATGGGAGCTGTTCTTAATACACCTTGTCACATTACTAAATTGTCAGCATAGGAATCAGAATATTAGCATTGTTTATTTGCACCCAGCTAATAATGATACCATTCCTTTAAAGTCTAAGGTTTTCTCCTAACCTTGTGATTAAATACTAAATCCTAAAACATTTTTTCCACTTTTCTAAGAGTAGTTATACTTCTAGTGAAATAAAAATAATAAAATAAAACACCTCTCTGCAGTTGCTTAGCATTCCCATAGGCCAGCTAGCCTCAGAAACGCACTTCAAGTAATAATACATTTAAGCACATGATTCATACATTTAAATAACTAATTGAAATCTTAAAAGGGTTACCTCTAAAATGCCTTTCTTCTCAAGACACAATATCTCCCACTATTTTCCTGAAAGTGAGATGCAGTTGCTCAGTAACTTTACCTACGCCCTATTATGTACTCTGCAACTTCCATTTAAGCACCAAAGTCCTATTTTGCTCTATAAAAGCAAGAAGACACCTCAGAGTCTGAAGCTCATTGTCCACAAAGAATTCATCAAGGGATAGTTTACAGTAAGCCTAATGGCATGTAACAATTGCTATGAGCCAGAGGGACACAATCCTTCCTTTCCATACTTCTAGACAGTGAAGGTTTTATTTTCCTTCACAGTAGCACATTTATTTCTCACGTATTCTGTCTTGTGTTTTGCCAAAAATGTAATCCAAACTATCTTCTAATACGTACAGGTGATCATTTAGGAAAAACACAAAAAATAGTTGAGAAAACTTTTCCTCTGGTACTTTGTACACATTCAAAATTTGAGTGAGGAGGAAAAGGAAGAACAGAGCTACATTCCCAGGAGGCCAACGGGAGACAAAGAAAGATTAATGGGAGATTAATGTGCTATAAAAGTTAAACAATTGAACCTATGACTGATGTGTAGAAACCTAAAGTCGCTAAAGTGGATACTGCTGTGTGGATCTTTCTGAAAAGAATTACGATTGTCAACGCAGTTTCTCCTGATCAAGCTACATATTCACACCAGCAGCCAACTGAGCGTGATCGGATAGCTCAGGTGAACATCACTACATGGAGGTCTTAGATTTCGGTTGGGCTGAGACAAAGGCAGGAAACATGAAATGGATTGACTTAGCACGTTCAAAATTTGGGATCTGGAGGAATTTACTCCATGGTGAAGTAGATTCCAATTCAAATGTAAAATTGTTGTGAATAAAGATCAAACGCATTTAAAATCCCCAGATAAAAAGTTAACTATAGAATTTGACCTTTGGTTTGGTTTTTAATAAATAGTAAATCAGTCTGGATGAATTAAATCAGATCATACGGAAGAAGCTAACAAAAAGATCATTTAATCATTTGAATATCTTCCACATTTTCAAAACTCCAAGAGATGTCAAGGGGCAGCTTTTAAAGATGAAAAATAATTAATGATTAACTAGACTTTAAAGACTTCTACTAGGGGTAAAGAAAACCTTGTTTGTATATCTAAACACTATAAGCTATTTCCAGTGCAATTTATATAATTCAAATAATTTTTTAAAAAGCTTAATCAGTAAATTTGGTAAACATTAAATCCAAGTATTCACAAGGGGTTAGAATTTAAATACTTTCATGGATCTTCTAAACTGATTCCTATAAGTGCTCCAGGTCTATCAAAAAGTGGATAACTCAATCCTCAAGACTTGGAATTTGGAAAAATCAAGCTTAAAGGAAAAAACATGCAGAAACTTAATACAGAATTCTTCAAAGACTCTGTGTGTGTGTATTTTTGTTCTTCTTTCCATAGTCGAATGATTCTGGAATAACAATTATGAATATGATGAGACTTGAACAAGCCCAGGGGAAGAAGGAAAAGTTAATGACTCCATAAGTAAAATAGCACATGTGTAAAGACTGTCTAGTCTTCTGCTCCAGAATCCCAGCTGAAAACAAGACGTTTGACTCTGAAGCAAAAGGACTCTCTCCTGCCACCTAGAGGTGTGCGATGATTATGACAATAATCATGGAGATAAACCAGTGAAAATAATCAAGATGAGATTTTAACCTGACTTTGACTACTGACATGTTGCATAGAAAATAAACTGGAAAGAAAGAAAAGCAATAATAAAGCAAGATCAACATTAGGTCACTACTGCTGTGTGATTTCACGAAGAAGCCAGATTAATAGATGGAATATGAGACCTGGGATCAGAAAACCTAGGGTCAAATAATAGCACTACTATGCCCCATTAAGAAACTATTCTATTATAGGTATACACTTTTTCTCGTTGTGTTTGAGTGCCGTACGTACACTGAAGGCTAACACTTCAAAGAAATTGTGAGGGTTCAGTATCTGTGTCGGTGCATTTATAGTCAATATTGCCATCCTCATCATCAGAAAACGCATCAAAATAAAACTTCCACTGACTTCTTTGTTTTTTTTCTGGTACCGGGAACTGAACTCATGACCTTGCACTTGCCAGGCAGGTGCTATGCTGCTGAGCTAAATCCCCAGCCCCCCAATTGACTTCTTTGGAAGGCAACAAAATTCTGCTGCAAAATGGGAACAGTTTACAAAACTGTAAACATTTAAGAAAAGACAACACAGAAGGGGGACAAGAGAAATCTGGCAAAATATTAATGATATAAACCCATAAACAATGAAAAATTCCACAGTCCCATTCATGGTGAAAAACATGCCACCCCCAGGGGGGGATCTTGAGATCTACAATGAATAGTGTATGTGTGTTTTTTTTAAGTTTTGACTATAAATTATGCTACATTTTTGTTATTAGTTAGAGATCATAAAGTAATAGATTCACTCTCTCTCTCTCGCCCACACAGACTCAACTATAGATACAGAAACGAATGAGGCCTAATGACCGCAAGCCCAGGCGCTTGAAGGTCTTCTTTGCTCTCACCTGAAGCACTGACCTCACCAATTCTATTCAGTTAATGTGTGTTGTGCATATTAAATAATGTGGAAAACAAGTGCATAGGCCATTAACACTATGTTTTTAATTACAATATACTGTAAACCCCCAAAGCTTCCAAAATTTAGAGGGAGAAAATACGATCTTTCAAACTGGACTCAAAGAATAAACCACCCAGGATGGTTCTTTCACCACTGTACTTTTAATTTCATGTGATTCTTTGTGAATAACCAGTAATGTATCTACAAAATGTGTATTTCCAACCAGTGCTATGGGAGCAAAATCTTAATCTAAGGATCTGGTCAGAAAATAAAGTCCACAACTTAATCAGAAAAGCAGTTTCACATCTTGCAATGAAATCGTTACCTCGGTCGGGGAGGCGTCTTGTCCACAGATAAATGAAAACAGAACCACCAAACATAGAGAGACAAAATGCAGCACAAACCTTTCTGATAATGTAATAAGGTCTTTAAAGGCAAAGGGACCTTCGAAAATGTGTTTAATGGAATTCCTGGTCATCAATAGAGGACTGGAAGCCTAGGATGATATTTTGCCTGAACTGCCAGGCTATTTGCACAAAGTCCTTCCAAGTATCCTACTCAGCCTCCTGGAGCCCGACCTGTGTAATGCTAACTCTACCAGATATCTTCCTCCTACTCCCCAGTCCCGTGATGCTCTGTCTTGAATGGGACGACAGTACACTTGCAATCGCATGTCCTTCTCAAATCATGACCAAAAATTGCGACTGAGTGGGCAGTGATGTTCTACACATTATGGCATTATGGATTTTCTAGTTTACTTTTCTAAACCCTACTAAACCATTCTTCCTAATAATATAGCACAAGCCTTTTTATCTGTACCAGATGAGATTGAAACATAATTTGAATAGAAAGCCATCCAAAAGTCATTAATTGTAATACTTAAAGGGCTATTTCAACACTTCACATAAAATGCTCGCTTCGGCAGCACATGTACAAAACTTCATATAAATGGATTGGGCAAATCTTAATTCATGAGCAGATTTTTTTTGTGCTGTTTATAAGACAAAGATTTCTGATTTACTTAAGTCTAAGGTAGTTAAGAGCTAAGAGAGTTGAACATTCTATATATGTAGAACTCATATATATGCATATATGAATTTCTCATATAGGACAAAAATTCCATTAAATTGACCCTGAAAGCATTTAACAGAGAATTACACACATATAGTATCAGTTTGAGAAGGCATACTTTCTATTTTCATTCCAGATCTGTCCTCTAGTTTTGTTTCTTTATTTTTCTTTTTAGTTTTGAATGTAAAAACTTTGATAGTTCCTCAGGAGAAATGAAAAGAAGCAGCAGATCTTGTTTGGGGCCTATTATCAAAGCCACAAAAACACGGACACAATTCTACAACATCTGCAATAGTTTAAACGAAAGTTTCCTTGTAAACAGATTGGCAGACCCTCCTCATTTGTCTTCAGGCGAGGTAACTTAGGTGTCTCAAAGGCGCCCAAAGTCTAAAGTGCAGACTTCTGCTCTTAAAGTAAAATTCTAAAATAAAGACTCAACATTCCACCATGCCTACAAGACGGAGGTTTAACTAAGCCTTCTTACCCAGATATTAGAAAATTCAAGGGCAATCACACATCCTTTTTGCACCTGCAGAAGCAAATTTTGCCATGTGAATTTATTTCCCCAGAAAGAGCAGTCCACCTCACCAAAGTAGGGTGTTTAGCAGTAAAGAAATAAGCCCAACGTCCAGAGGCATATGGGATGAAGTCCAAGCTACCTTTCTGCGCTAGAGACTACTCAGCCCTAGGCACAAGCCCCCGTGTGCACTGCAAAGGCTGTTGTGGATGACCCACCCCTCCAGCCCTTACCTTCTCTTAGGCTCTCAGAACTTGGACACCCATGTTGGACAGGACCACCGCAGCCACCGCCTTCTCCACAATTAGGGGGAAGCATTCCTTGAGAAAGAGCTCATTGATCAATCTCAAAGACAAGCTGGGCAAATCTGCTCATCAGCGTTCACAGGGCTGAGAGGTTGGGGGAAAGAAACAGCTCGCACAAGGGTTTGTTCTTAGCCTTGCCTCTGCGAATCTCAAGGGACAGGAGAGGAGGAAAGGAAGACTTCCTGTGCCTGGCTGGTCCACCCGACCTGTCTGAGCCTTTATTTTAACACTGGGAGGCCACATGGGTGTTCCTGTACCCGTGCGGATCTAATTTCCTCCGCATAAAACCACCTCCCACAATTACTCCGGCTTTTTGGAATAGGGCTGGGGGTGCGGAATGGAGTCAAGTTTTGTCAGTTCCTGAGTGTGAAAGGATGAACACGAGCGATGCAGACGGTGGGACGGGTGAAGGCTGATTTCCGAGAAAGATTACATGAAGGAAAAGTTCGGAGTAACCCACTCCCGCCATCAAGGGCATTGGACCGCACAAAATAGAATCTATGAACTCCTGATTTTTGCTGCCTTTTCGGATTCCAAGGATTGCAAACTTCAGATGTCCGAAGTCCATTAATTATAGTCTACCATACTGGGGGGACACAAATCATTTTTGCCCTGACAGTTAATGCTTCCAGAGCAAAGTTGGCTTCCCCGCTGCCCAACTGCAGTTTCTAGTCTGCTTTTTGAACCGGACAGAAAAGAACCCTGCAATCCAAAAGCTTCATGGACTTAAATCCCGGGCATTCAGGGGTGGAGGCCACCCGGCCTCTCCACCCTCGGCGCGCAGGAGGGCACTGCGCCTGTGCCCGGCGGCTCAGGATAAACCTCCCTCCCTTCGGCCCTGGTTGGCTGAGGCCTCCCGCGGGCTCTGGGCCGCTGCGCCAGGCGGACGAGGACCTCACGCTTGCTTGCAGGGACGCGGAAGGTCACGGGGTGCTGACCGCCACGCCCCGC